CCAATGGATACGTTGGATTTTAGTTATATAAAAAAAATTGGATCCAATGGATCTGATGGATCCAATGGATACGTTGGATTTTAGTTATATAAAAAAAAATGGATCCAATGGATACGTTGGATTTTAGTTATATAAAAAAAATGGATCCAATGGATCTGATGGATCCAATGGATACGTTGGATTTTAGTTATATAAAAAAAATGGATCCGATGGATACGTTGGATTTTAGTTATATTGGATCCATCAGATCCATCGGATCCATTTTTTTATATAACTAAAATCCATTGGATCCATCAGATCCATTCGATCCATCGGATCCATTTTTTTTTATATAACTAAAATCCATTGGATCCATCAGATCCATTGGATCCATTCGATCCATCGGATCCATTTTTTTTATATAACTAAAATCCATTGGATCCATCGGATCCATTTTTTTTTATATAACTAAAATCCATTGGATCCATTTTTTTTTATATAACTAAAATCCATCGGATCCATCAGATCCATCGGATCCATTTTTTTTTTATATAACTAAAATCCATTGATCGATCCATCAGATCCATCGGATCCATTTTTTTTTTATATAACTAAAATCCATTGGATCGATCAGATCCATCGGATCCATTTTTTTTTATATAACTAAATCCATTGGATCCATCAGATCCATCGGATCCATTTTTTTTTATATAACTAAAATCCATTGGATCCATCGGATCCATCAGATCCATTGGATCCATCAGATCCAATTTTTTTTATATAACTAAAATCCATTGGATCCATCAGATCCATCAGATCCATTTTTTTTTTATATAACTAACTAAAATCCATTGGATCCATCGGATCCATTTTTTTTTATATAACTAAAATCCATTGGATCCATCGAGATCCATTTTTTTTTATATAACTAAAATCCATTGGATCCATCGGATCCATCAGATCCATCGGATCCATTTTTTTTTATATAACTAAAATCCATTGGATCCATCGGATCCATTCGATCCATTTTTTTTATATAACTAAAATTCATTGGATCCATTGGATCCATTTTTTTTATATAACTAAAATCCATTGGATCCATCAGATCCATTTTTTTTATATAACTAAAATCCATCGGATCCATTTTTTTTATATAACTAAAATCCATTGGATCCATCAGATCCATTGGATCCATTCGATCCATTTTTTTTTATATAACTAAAATCCATTGGATCCATCGGATCCATTTTTTTTTATATAACTAAAATCCATTGGATCCATCAGATCCATTGGATCCATCAGATCCATTGGATCCATTTTTTTTTATATAACTAAAATCCATTGGATCCATCGGATCCATCAGATCCATTTTTTTTTATATAACTAAAATCCATTGATTGATCCATCAGATCCATCGGATCCATCGGATCCATTTTTTTTTTATATAACTAAAATCCATTGGATCGATCGGATCCATCAGATCGATCGGATCCATTTTTTTTTATATAACTAAATCCATTGGATCCATCAGATCCATCGGATCCATTTTTTTTATATAACTAAAATCCATTGGATCCATCGGATCCATCAGATCCATTGGATCCATCAGATCCAATTTTTTTTATATAACTAAAATCCATTGGATCCATCAGATCCATTTTTTTTTTATATAACTAACTAAAATCCATTGGATCCATCAGATCCATTTTTTTTATATAACTAAAATCCATTGGATCCATCGGATCCATTTTTTTTATATAACTAAAATCCATTGGATCCATCGGATCCATCAGATCCATTTTTTTTATATAACTAAAATCCATTGGATCCATCAGATCGATTGGATCCATTCGATCCATTTTTTTTATATAACTAAAATCCATTGGATCCATCAGATCCATTGGATCCATTTTTTTTATATAACTAAAATCCATTGGATCCATCAGATCCATTTTTTTTATATAACTAAAATCCATTGGATC